CTATTCTCATGGACACAGGCAGTCTGTGGTTTGGACTTGTTTAACTTTTGTCTAGTTTCTGAACAGATATGAGGAGCTGTGAGCTCTGAGTGCTAACAGCTAACGGCTGATGTTGGTTTTGTGTTTCGAATGGAAGATGGCGTCACGGCTCCGCCTACACTGCGTTGCTATAGTTACTGCCCCAGCTACTAAACTGTAATGGAAACGCAGCATAAAGTGAGCCTGGCCTACCAAGGCCTAACTATACCGTACTAAGCCGAGCGAGGCCCTGCAGTGGAAATGCGCCATTAAAGGCAGAGGGGCAGTGAGCTCCAGTAAGCTATGCTGAAAAGCACTGTATTGTCTTTTAGCTGCAAGTTGTTACAGACAGAATCACTGATCTACTTATGACTCTGGTGATTGAAATAACATTTTCATTTATCTTCAATTGTTATCAAAATGAGGACAAAGAGAATAAAAAAGGCCTCAAAACCCATCTGTTCAATAGAGCCTTTTCCTAGACCTTTTATTTGATTTATTACCCTTTTATTTATTTATTTTTTATTGTTTGTTTTTACTGCTTTTTATTCAATTCTACCGTGTTGTGCACTGTTTTATATTGTTCCATGCTCACTGCTTGTAGCACTTGGGGATTTGAACTCAAATATGAAGTGCGTTATAAATGAAACACATCAATATGTCTCACCTCTGTTAGTAGAGGCAGCAATGGGCTCTTTCTCACGGATCCAAGTCTCCTCATCCTCCACATCTCTGAACAGCTGCTGCAAACGCAGAGAGTCGGACAGCTTCTGCTTGCGTGCAGCCATGGGCTCGCGCAGACCTTCATACCGCGACATTAAAGCCTCCTGTTTCTTGCGGATGTTGTCTGCATCAAAGTGTCCAGCTTCTTGGAACTGGCGAGCCTGGATAGTTATGCCATCGATGCGATCCTGAGGGATAATAATAATTCATACATTTGCCATTCAATCACTGTGTACCAAAAAAGGATGAAAAAGCATCATTGGTGTCATGTATGCCTCCGTGATGAGTGTCTTGGGTACCTGGTGGGCTGCCACGTCGGCCTCCAGCAGTGCATGCTTCTTCTGCAGGTTCTGGACACTGGTCAGGTCTTTCCCGTAATCGTCTGAAGCTAGGTGTCCCTCAACCTCATACAGCCACAGCTCGATGTCCTCCACGTTTCTGTTGAACTGCTGCTGCTGGTTGGCCTCACGGAGCTTGATACCTTAAGTACCATAAGAAACCATATTGAAGAAATGAAATCAACATCCACAATAACGACAATGAGGTGCTGTAAGATTATATTCTTGATCCATTGCTAGTTACATTATACATTACTACAGAAATGCCTAATCAGTGCAACCGTACTATGTTTTTATTTTTTATTTTTATTGACATTTGGCAGCAAACAATTACACAGTGTTTTTTCAAGGTATAATAATTGTACATTTTCAGTTGGTCTGTCCGAAATGCCCTTTTATTTATTTTTTTACACAAAGATAAAATAAAGACAGTAAAAGGTACGAACAATAGGGAGTGATCAGGTCTTCACAGTAAAATCATACGTTTGTAAAAATAAGATCTGGCCTATGAGGTTTTATGAAATCAGTTCACTTTCTCCATCGTGACACAAATAGTTCCAGTTTGTGATTGACAGATGATGTTATCCTCTCCTTTTTGTAAATGTCCATTGTAATATCCATCCATGCGTTTAACGTTGGGCTATCAGGTGATAACCAATTCCTTGTAAGAGCTTTTTTACTCGCCACCAGCAACAGATTTAATAAATATTTGTCTTTTTTAGTCCATTCTTGAGGTATGAGTCCAAAGAACAAAGTCTTACTCTCCATGGGCACATGACATTTGAAAATATCTTGTAAGGCTTTATGTATCTCTCTCCAAAATACCTCAATAACAGGGCAGTCCCACAAAACGTGATAATGATTTGCATTTGAATTTCCACATTTTCTCAAGCAATCTGGGGAGTTACCAGTGAGACTTTTGAGAGGGTGTTATAAAATATCTTCCAACTCCCTCCAGTTATGTATCTCTTTAATTATGTTGCAAAGAGCAGTTATTCCTTTGGCTGTCCAATCCTTGAATCAAGTGTCTAATTTATTAGGAGTAAAGTCGGTGTCATATGCACACCATTTCAGAATTGTAATATGTTCCTCTAATTTATACTCAGTTATGACTGTTTCCCATACTTTAAGAGTCAGTTTTACCCATGGATTTTAAATGTTATTTATGTAGCCCTGTAGGTCGCTGTCAGCTATGATTACTTGTATGGGAATGGATAATATTTTCTCTTCCATGGTTTTCCATTGGGCATCATACGATGGATTGCGCCAGCATACCATGGGCCTCAGCTGTGCTGCCCGGTAATACTCTTTAAGGGAAGGAGCCCACCCCCTCTTTTCTTTTGCTAATTGTACAGTTTTTAAACAAATTCTAGGTCTTTTAGCCTGCCATATATACCTTGATATTATTCTGTCCCACTCGTTAAATTGTTTTTGGTTAATCTCTATTGGTAAGGTCTGGAACAAATAAAGTAGTCTTGTCAGTATGTTACATGCATCTTATAACTCTGTTTTGGTGTCTGACAAGACATATTTGGTCGCGGTCGAACACACTCCATAGGACTTAGCTTCGGTGCTACACATTGACTTCGATACATGTGGTCGTATGTTAGAGAAGTAAACGATGAATTCATTATGACTTTTATTTCTATCGCTCTTCTTATCGGTTA